TTGTTTTGAGTTCTTTCTTTCTTTCTCATAGCTGAGGCTTCATCCTGTTACTTTCCTTTGTGTTTGAACTAACAAGATCTATTCTTTCTGCTAGAGGAAAGGTTATGGGAAAAATCATTCATATTCATTCCCCTCATGTTTTCAGAATGAATTATCTTCAAGACAGACACGTCTCTTAGGCTGCTGTTGAATACAACTCATAGGCTGAATTTGGTTCATTTCTGTAATAAATGACATGCTCATTACCCGAGGTGAGAAGATGTAGGAACAAAGGGTATAAACGGGACTGAAAATTTCCCTCTTCCCTCTCCTTTTCTCTCTCTCCCTCTTTTTTCTTTCTTCACTGGGTTTTGGGCCCAGAGCCTTTTCACCAGTTATATCCTTTTATTTTTCATTTTGAGATAAGGTCTTGCTAAGTTTCCCAGGCTTAGCTTGAACTAGTGATCCCCCTGGCTTATCCTCCTAGAGTGCTAGGATTACAGGTGTGCACCTCCACATGTGACTAACTTTTTCAGTTCATTTGTTCCCTTGAAAATACAACTGTTTCACTTAAGCTAACTTTCATCTCATACTGTTGTTTTTTCATCCTGCCATTATTTATGCTTGACTCTTGTTCGTTTTTAAGCTTCCATATTTTCTTTTATAGCATGTATCCTGATAAGCCAAATGACTTTAAGTTTTTGACATGTTTCCTGCTATAGTTCATTTTTAAAGAGTGATATACACTCTCCCTAGTATCTGCTTGTCTTGGGTTTGGTAGGTTTGATCTGGTCGTGTCTCTGGACCTATGCATTGGGCTTGTGGGGAAACGAATGAGACCTAGGCAGTTGCCAGATCTTTGGGAGACGTTGCTTGCGCACAGCGGAGCAGGAGTCCTTCACTGTCCTGAGGCAGCTCAGGCCCTTGCTGTTTTGTGCCCTGAGGGAAGTGCATCTTGGGAAAGGAGGCTTTATTAACCTTGAACCAGCACAGAAGGAACACAGATGAATGAGGTGGGTGTTCCAGCTCTTTAATAAGACAACCCAGTGTGTCTTCTGTCATGACTTATAGATCTTTTGAATTCATAAGAAATATTCTGCATCATAGTCACTGACTCGCATAGGTCCAGAGGAACAGTGAGTAAGCAAGATGTTTATCAATTTCTTCAGAAATGAGATTACTTTGCCTCTGTAAACCTCTGCTTTTTCTGTTAAATTGAGAATGACAATGCCATGTCACCATATTTTTGTAGCATTTTGTTATACAACTAAAGGCCAACGAAGCACTTAACTACCTGGAGGATGACAATTCTTTCTGCATTTCTTACCTAATGCAGAAGTTACTGAACTAATATTTTTTACAACAAAAATTTCTTTCCCTTGTACATCATGTGTGGTTTTAATAGAAAATGTGCCAAATGATAAACATCTAAATATCCTGCCCACTGAGCTAGGCCTGGCTAGATTGGAGCAGGAGGCTTCAAGGGCTCCACCCTCAGTATGCTGTGGCTTCTCTTCTGTATCCAGGGTACACAGAGAAGCCTGCAGCACCCATGCATCCTGATAAGCGGCTGTGCTGGCACACCTCTGGGCATGCAGCTGCATTTGTTTCTGGAACTTGGAATTTACTGTGTTTAATTGCATGAACTGCGCAACAATGTTTGGGTGTTTTGAACTACAGCTCATACTGTTTAGCGTTACTGCTTTGAATACATCAATAAGTGTCACACCCAGTGAATCAGTCCATCTCTTTTTCTCTTTTTTAAAATTTATTTTTATCTTTTAATTTTAAAGATAAAACAAAGAAAACACATTAACAAACAAACAGACATAAACAAAATAACACCAAAGAATAGAAGCAATTTCAGAATTTCATACAAGGTGATAGGATATTGACAATGGTTGTTGTATTACATATTGTTAGTTTCAAATTGGTTACTCAGTTAAACAAATATAGGCATGTAAGATTGATCAAATAATTAAAGATTAACTGTTCCTTTCAAGAAAGCAATAGAAATCAGTAGTACAGCTATCTTAGCTATTCTATGTGTACATATATACATTTTCCCCCTTATTTCTTTGTTTCTTTTGTCTTTCTCATCCCAGTTGTTCTTTCCTTTTGAGCAGTTTCTTTCCATTTCACAATATCTATTGTGCCTTTTAGATTTTATTTACTCTTTCAAGTTCTTACACTAGTGAGACAATACAGTATTTACACATGTGGGGCTGATTTATTTCACTCATGAGTATGGTTTCTAGTTGCATCCATTTACCTATGTAAGCCTCAAGTTTATCTTTTTTTATAGCTGAGTAATATTCCATTATGTAAAACTACCACATCATTTTTATCCATTCCTCAGTTGATGGGCATTTGGGTTGCTTCCAAGATTTAGCTATTACAAATTGTGCTGCTATAAACATGGGTGCACATATATTGCTGTGGTATAGTGTTTTTAGTTCTCCTGGAAAAATACCCAGAAGGGAGATAGCAGGGTTGAATGGAACTACTAGTCCTAGTTTACTGGGGAATCTCCAGACTAAATATTGTTTTATTCTTTCTTGCTACTTAAAACACCTTGGCTTAGGGTTAGGGCTAGGGCTAGATGTTAACACAACAGAAAACTAGGTTGTGGCTACATGAGAAATCTCTGAACTTTGTTCACAGTTTTTGTGTACTTATAAAACTACTCTAAAATAAAATTTTATTTTAAGAGATGGTTACAGGATTTTAAACACCTGCTTGTTTATTTACTCATACAGTTAGTGGTAGTATTTGATATTCCTAACTAACCCAAGTTTTAAGAAAGAGCATTTGGACAAAATTAAATAATACAAAATAATATGTAAGTCAAGATAAGAGCTGCTTTTACATATTTTCTGTTGAAGTAATAAAACATATATGTAAATGTCATTATATAATTTTTTCTTATGCTGTGGCCATGTCCTGGGTTTATTCTCTAAAACGTTGTTCATTGTACAGAAAATAAAAATTCATACTTTGCAGACTTTATTTCAACTCATAATTGAACATTCTCAAAGGAATGAGTTTGCTGAATTAGGTTCCCATGGCTGATTTGACTCCTTCTCACTGACCCAGAGAGCCTGGTCTTGTGAGAAATGCACTCACTTGCCCAGCCCTAAGGAACGGAATCAGAGGTGTTAAGAGCAGCAAAAGTGAGGCTTTAATTCAGTGTTGCAAGGTTGGGTGTCTGCAATGCAAGCAGACATACACAGGGCAGCTACCGCACGCAATCTGTGCCCAGCATGCAGGCCCCACCCCCGTTCCAGTTCACTGGGTGAGTCCCAGGTGGGCTACTGCTTTTCCTGGACATCGCCTATGTTTCATGATCTCCTGATAAGGCAGTTTCCTGGTCCCCCTCTCAATGTGAGTTTGGGTTTCTTCATACTACTATCTGTTCTTTACTCTGGGACTCTCTGAAGAGCAGGTATTTCTGTTTAGAGATTTTACTTGACCTTACGGTTACTATGTTTCTACTTAGCCCTAGCTATCTTACTATGAAAGCGGATTATTCTATGTCTTTCTTTTCCCTTTTCCACTTTCCCACTGACATCTGTATTTCTAAATAGAGGCTTTCTTACTAGTTTATCTCTCCATTAAGGTCCCATTTGCAAAGGGACCTTTTATTTTATTTTTATTTTTTAAGCATACTATTATGTGA